TCTCAGCAACGGAAGAAAGACAGGGAGCAGCACCTGGCAGCCCTTGCTTAGAAATCAGACCACTGTAGTGGTTCCTTTAATATTAGAATATCAGGGTGCAAATTTAGTAATACGACTATTTTGTTTATGGAATTTTCTATACTAACAATATTGTTTGCAATAAAATGTGTATAGAAACATGTCAACCTAATTTTTGGACAATTATTGTTCTGAATGTGTAGGAAAAGTGGCATAAAGTAGTCAGTGTAAAGGAGACGATAAGGGTTAGCAGGAGTTAGAATTAGTTAAATAGGAGCTCAGAGTGGGAAGGCAACAGGTTGTCCATTTATTGTCAGGGTTGCCGTATTCATTGATGGTTGCCATAGTAAGGAGTAAACTCTAGACACAGAGTGCAGTGAGGAGCAATCTGGGATCATCCTCACCCTTCCACAGGTCAGAAGAAGGTTTTTGAGGTAAGTCAGCCTATGGTTAGCTTTAAGTGTCAGAAGTAACAAGACAAGAAAAGCGAGTGTGGATACAACTACGTTAGTCAATATGGTGTAAAGGGCAGATCAAGTTAAGTAATCACTATGAAAAACAAAAATAGTGCAGTATGTAATGTATTTGAGCAGCACGTAAGGAATAAAACAATTACATAGGAAATCTGGTCTCTATAAACGTAAGGGGGTCACAATCAAAATACCATATACCCTAGATAAGTAATACTTAGAAGTAATAACTAGGTGGTTTGCAAAAATAAACACCACCAGAATCTTGAGTGTCATGGAAAGATATGTTTAAATATGTTTTGCATTTCAGCAGGCATGTATTGTACATTATTTAATGTAGCACTCAGTGAGCTGTAGTGGTTATGGTGCCAAGAGTGCCCTGTAATTACATTGTAAGTAGTCAAACAGCTTTAGAACTAGCACACATACACACAGCTATACATTCCATACACACTCAACAGATACTCAGGAGAGCAGATTCCAGGTACGAAGTCAAACTTCTAAAATGATTTGCCATCTACAATTGGGGGCATCAGTTCACTCCCGGAATCATAACCATTACAGCATGCTGTATGATGTTTGGAATGTCCCATTGAAGAAACACTATACAGAGGGGGTTGAGCCAGTAGCCTCATGAGTCGGACGCCTGTGGCAGGAGCTCCGCTCAGACTTGCCAATGACCCCAGCTACCAGCATCATATACCTGCCCCATGAGTCAGGACTGCAGCACTATCTTCCCCAAGGGTGATAGAGAAAAAAAACATTGGCCAAACTGAGACCTTGATCCCGAGATATTGAGACGTTCCTGCACCAACCTGTTAGGCCTGACCACTTAAAATGTTGCATCTATTTTAGCTTCCTAGGATGAGGACAGCTTGGCGGAACAATAATTCACCTTATCAAAGGTACCTGTGGCTACCCAAGGGCCCCCAGCAGTTAAGCAGTTGGTCCTTCAACTAAGGAAGACATCAAGGCCCTGCTCCACAAAATTAGGACAATGTTTCAAGCAGATGTGCAGGTGGTGAGGGAAGAAATGGCCACACTTACCAGCAGAATTGTCACTGTTGAGGAAGACATGGGTACTGCGAGGGTGGCACAAATGGCTACGGATGCAGCTCTCAGCACATTACAAAAAAGCAACGCTGATATGGTCAAGGCAAGAAATCTGAGACTCAGCAGTCACTGCTGAAGAGCTGCCTCACTTTATCAGATGGCTTCTTGATACACTACTGCCACCGAAACAAGCAAAACTGGTTGTAATGGACTATTGCTTACGTTTACCTAAGGCCCCAGGGCCCCTCTGGAGTTGTCCAGAGATGTCCTCATCAAATTTGTACGGGACTCTAACAAGGGATTATCTTGGGGTTGACCAGGGGTACCCCTTCAATGACTGGAGATGTCCCACTATACCATCCTTTGGAGGCAGTCACTCCGACAACTTGCAACAAACACAACATGCCTTATAGGTGGGACATGCACAGGCTTCTTCTGAAGAAGCCTCTCCAAGGCATCCTCCCTACTTCGGGAACGGAGAATACCAGACGGATTCATCTCAGCAGCACACTGCCCATTATGGACTGTAGACCGGATAACTCCTTTCGTGCCCAGAACAGCTGCACCATGGCCAAGCGTCCCGCCACTGTGAAAACCGCTACTGCACTATCTTGTTTAAATGGCATGCTTGTTATGAGTGCAAAATGTTTTGCAATTTTACCATATGACATTTTCCGTTTCTCTCATTTGAAATTATTTAAATCTTTCTCTGTAAGCTGACATTAAGTTGTTGCATTTAGTGTATCTACCTCCCTTTTAGCCCAACACACCGCAGGCTGATGACTGTCTCGAACAAGTGTTATGGCGTATTACAGTAGTTGATGGCTCCCACTGAAATGTCTCTCCCTAGCTAAAGCAGACTGGTAATCAGATGACTAATAAAGATAACACACATATACCTGAGTATCACTAGTAATCTTTCATTATAATACCTAGAGCACTTTGAGGCATTGGTTACACTTGATACATCGGCTATCTGCCTCTAGAATGTCATTGATAATGTTATAAAATGTGCTGTGTCTAATACGTACCGTTCATTTCTCTTCTAAACATTTTCATGCTATTGCTGACATATTTTTATGCTTAATAATGCACAACAAACATAAAGAATGTAAAACAAATAGGTGTCACGATAGTCACCCAGATCACTTCAGCTAATTGAAGTGGTCTGGGTGCAATGTCCCTGCCCCCCTTAGTCCTGCAATGTATATCATTGCTGTTTTAGAGAAACTGACATAAATTACATTAAAGGACTAAGACTGCCTTTAGTGGCTGTTAGGCTTCCTTCATTGTCTAACTCAGGGGTACCCAACCCAGTCCTCAAGTACCCCCTAACAGGCTAGGATTTAGAGATTACCCCATTGTATCTAAAGTGTTGGTTTTTTCCTTTCTAAAAACACCTGAGACACAACTGGGTAATCCATAAATCTTGGACTGTTAGGGGGTACAGTGGAAACCACTGGTCTAACTGATGCTGGACATCCTCACGCTGTGCTGGGGATACATTCGGCATCCGATAAATGCCCAAAAGAAAACAATGATTCAATGCTTTCCTATGGGGGAAGGCCTAATGAGCTCAGTGACATTGGAGGACGCTGAGCACTCACTCAACAAGGAAGATTGATACTGGAATTGGGTGAGTACAGAAAGGGTTTTATAACCATTTCAATGTCGAGAGGTGCCTGGGGGGAGTGCCAGAGGTCGGTACCAGAGGGAGTTACAGTGTTAGGAATATAGATTTGTATTCACTATACAATATAGCATCCCTTTATGGAAATTAAAAACAATCAACATTTCAATAGGACAGAAAAATGTTTAGCACTTCTAATATGTAACATTGACATTTTCCCTGGCTTATTCTCCACAAATTCTCTCATATATATTATTCTATATTTACTCAATGTAGTCTACGGGTTTTTCTGCATATGTGTGTGTGTGTATGTGTGTCTGTATATAATTGCCCCACTATAGATGTGCCATGGCATTGCGCATACCACATGACTCTCATATTGCAGCTATGTTGCGGACACATATGCACACAGATATACACACACTCTGATAGGCACAGACATACATGCACACTGATAAATGCACACAGAAACACTTTGATGCACAGAGACTGATAGACACACAGTCACAATATGTGTCTGACTGTGTATTAGTATATATGGATGTGCCTGAGATTGTATATCCGCCAGTGAGTATCCTTGTATATATGTATCTGAGTGTGTCTGTAATGTATATCTGTGTCTGTCTGTAAGCATGTGAGTCTCTATGGATGGAAGTATGTGTGAGGGTGCTGCTTGTAGGGTGTTGTGTGTAGGGGGGGACTGGTTTTAATGTTGTGGCTAATCAGTTTATCCAATAGCAATAAGTATAAACCTCTATATACAGGAATTAGGATGAATTATAAACAGGGTTATATGTGACTTCACATATAACTGGCTAGTCCAGACCTTACTCCTGATAACATGACCCTTGTAACCCCCTTTATATATGTTATCGTAAAGATGTACACAATATTTCTTACATAACTTACTTAGATGTAAGGTACTCTGACATTCTGATCTCCTGGTAACATGCATGGAAAACTGGTTGGCAGAAGAACTCCTGCAACCGCGGTGCTTGTCGCCATGTGTTGCGGCCCTGGCCGCACGATAGAACCGCCAGGGCCGCACGTTAAGGGACCGCTCTTAGGGCCAACAGATGGAAATTAATTTACAGGGTGCCCGGTCAGCACTGTGGCGCTATTACAGTGAGACCTGGCCCCCTGAGATGACTTCCTCAGTCACTTCCTCCCAGCAACCACCGGGAGCCGTGTGGGAGAAAGAGGAGGGAGTCAGAGTGGCAACTCTGACTCCCATCAGGCTGAGCCACCCCTGGACCCCAGGGAATATCACCATCCTGCACCTAAAAAGTAGGAAACAGGAATGAGACTAAAACATTTTGTATATGTGTGTGTTTGTGTGCCTATGTCTGTCTGTATGTGTGTGTGTCTGTATGTATGTGCCTCTGTGTATGTGTATTTGTATATGTGTCTGTGTGTGTGTGTGTGTGTGTGTGTCTGTGTGTAATTGTTTGTATGTGTGTGTGTATGTATGTGTGCCTGTACATGTGTGTCTCTGTATATGTGTGTGTATCTACATGTGTATCAGTTTGTCTGCATGTGTGGGGGGGGGGCAACGTATGGAAGGGGGAGGGTAGATATAGTGGGGGTGGAGTGGTGGCAGACGTATGAGGAGGCCCCTGGGAAGTTTTCACACCGGGGCCCCATGGTTCTAGTTACGCCTCTGGGTGTTAGCTATTGTTGTTTGATAATTATCACACTGTTGTCAAGTAGATGACCCCATTTTGTGAAACCAGTCACATATACAGAAAGTTATATACAATATTGCAGAGTCTTGCAATTGCTTACAAGTAACAATATGAAAATGTTGTGTGCGTCACTGTGCATATGATTTACAGTATGAATAGGGTTGGTTGCAGTATGTCACTGTATGTAATAGTTACAATATGAATACTGCTACTGGCAGTTACAATAGTGTGACAATGTGTCATAGTTACAATATGAATAGTGTTAGTTGCAGTGAGGCCAGTATTTGAAGCGTGTGTCTTAGTTACAATATGAATAGTGTTAGTTACAGTGAGCGCAGTATTTGAAGCTGGTGTCATAGTTACAATATGAATAGTGTTAGTAACAGTGAGCGCAGTATTTGAAGCGTGTGTCATAGTTACAATATGAATAGTGTTAGTTGCAGTGAGCGCAGTATTTGAAGCGTGTGTCATAGTTACAATATGAATAGTGTTAATTGCAGTGAGCGCAGTATTTGAAGCGTGTGTCAGAGTTACAAAATAAATAGTGTTAGTTGCAATGAGCGCAGTATTTGAAGCTTGTGTCATAGTTACAATATGAATAGTGTTAGTTGCAATGAGCGCAGTATTTGAAGCTTGTGTCATAGTTACAATATGAATTGTGTTAGTTGCAGTGAGCGCAGTATTTGAAGCTGGTGTCATAGTTACAATATAAATAGTGTTAGTTGCAGTGAGCGCAGTATTTGAAGCGTGTGTCATAGTTACAATATGAATAGTGTTAGTTACAGTGAGCGCAGTATTTGAAGCGTGTGTCATAGTTAAAAAATTAATAGTGTTAGTTGCAGTGAGCGCAGTATTTGAAGCTTGTGTCATAGTTACAATATGAACAGTATTAGTTGCAGTGAGCGCAGTATTTAAAGCTGGTGTCATAGTTACAATATGAATAGTGTTAGTTGCAGTGAGTGCAGTATTTAAAGCTGGTGTCATAGTTACAACATGAATAGTGTTAGTTGCAATGAGGGCAGTATTTGAAGCGTGTGTCATAGTTACAATATGAATAGTGTTAGTTGCCGTGAGCGCAGTATTTGAAGCTTGTGTCATAGTTACAATATGAATGGTTAGTTGCAGTGAGTGCAGTATTTGAAGCTTGTGTCATAGTTAAAATATGAATAGTTAGTTGCAGTGAGCGCAGTATTTGAAGCGTGTGTCATAGTTAGAATATGAATAGTGTTAGTTGCAGTGAGCGCAGTATTTGAAGCGCGTGTCATAGTTACAATATGAATAGTGTTAGTTACAGTGAGCGCAGTATTTGAAGCTTGTGTCATAGTTACAATATGAATGGTTAGTTGCAGTGAGCGCAGTATTTGAAGCGTGTGTCATAGTTACAATATGAATAGTGTTAGTTACATTGAGAGCAGTATTTGAAGCGTGTGTCATAGTTACAATATGAATAGTGTTAGTTGCAGTAAGCGCAGTATTTGAAGCGTGTGTCATAGTTACAATATGAATAGTGTTAGTTACAGTGAGCGCAGTATTTGAAGCGAGTGTCATAGTTACAATATGAATAGAGTTAGTTGCAGTGAGCGCAGTATTTGAAGCGTGTCATAGTTACAATATGAATGGTGTTAGTTGCAGTGAGCGCAGTATTTGAAGCGTGTGTCATAGTTACAATATGAATAGTGTTAGTTGCAGTGAGCGCAGTATTTGAAGCGTGTGTCATAGTTACAATATGAATGGTGTTAGTTACAGTGAGCGCAGTATTTGAAGCGTGTGTCATAGTTACAATATGAATAGTGTTAGTTACAGTGAGAGCAGTATTTGAAGCGTGTGTTATAGTTACAATATGAATAGTGTTAGTTACAGTGAGCGCAGTATTTGAAGCGTGTGTCATAGTTACAATATGAATAGTGTTAGTTACAGTGAGAGCAGTATTTGAAGCGTGTGTCATAGTTACAATATGAATAGTGTTAGTTACAGTGAGCGCAGTATTTGAAGCGTGTGTCATAGTTACAATATGAATAGTGTTAGTTACAGTGAGCGCAGTATTTGAAGCGTGTGTCATAGTTACAATATGAATAGTGTTAGTTGCAGTGAGCGCAGTATTTGAAGCGTGTCATAGTTACAATATGAATAGTGTTAGTTGCAGTGAGCGCAGTATTTGAAGCGTGTGTCATAGTTACAATATGAATAGTGTTAGTTACAGTGAGAGCAGTATTTGAAGCGTGTGTCATAGTTACAATGTGATTACGGTGAGCTCTGAGTACAATAGAACCGAGAATGTAGAAGCTATAGTGAATAGCGTTAATTGCAGTGGGCACAGTAATTGTGTGTTGTGGTCCCTCTATGATTTAAAGATAGAAAGTTGATAGTTGCAGTGAGCACAGTAAATGCAGTGTGTCACTCATGAAATGGCCGAACAGACGTGAAGTGTATGACGAAGAATTGGAATTGTGTTAGGTGCAGTGAGTACAGTTCATGCAGTGTATATGTGTGTGTTTCCTGTCTCCTAGCTGGGATTCTGGCACTGAATGTACAGGCGCCAGGTCTCTTTTTGGTCCCCCTCACACTCCTTCCCTCCCTAGGTCTATTTTGGCCCCCCTCTCATTTCCCACCCACGCCTGGCAGTGGATCTGCACACATGGAATGGCTGTTTAACCCATTTCCTTAATGCTTTATCCCTGTCTGTGTGTCAAACTGGGACAGAGAGCAAGGGAGGGAGTGTGGTGGGAAACGCGGACGTGTTTTTTAACGAGAATCACATATATATGTCTATAACACTTTTTTTTTTCTATTTATGCATACACGTTTTAAATGCAGATAGATTTTTGTAATCGTCATCATTTCTGTTTATATGACAGATTGCAAAAAAGTGTACAATGGTGATTTTACAATGTGCAAGCATAATTGATATAAGTATAAACCATAAGTTGACTAAACTTTCTATGTTTCTGTTGACAATGTAGAGGTTTAACCTACAGAGAGGGTTCAGAGAAGGGCTACTAAACTGGTTCATGGATTGCGGGATAAAACGTACCAGGAAAGGTTAAAGGATCTTAACATGTATAGCTTGGAGGAAAGACGAAACAGGGGGGATATGATAGAAACATTTAAATATATAAAGGGAATCAACACAGTAAAGGAGGAGACTATATTTAAAAGAAGAAAAACTACCACAACAAGAGGATGTAGTCTTAAATTAGAGGGACAAAGTTTGAAAAATAATATCAGGAAGTATTACTTTACTGAGAGGGTAGTGGATGCATGGAATAGCCTTCCAGCTGAAGTGGTAGAGGTTAACACAGTAAAGGAGTTTAAGCATGCATGGGATACGCATAAGGCTATCCTAACTATAAGATAAGGCTAGGGACTAAAGAAAGTATTTAGAAAATTGGGCAGACTAGATGGGCCGAATGGTTCTTATCTGCGGTCACATTCTATGTTTCTATGTTACAGCTAACCAGATACAAAGAGAATATACCTTCTCCTAAAATGCTAAGCGCACTTGCAGCCTACTTAGCATTCTGGGATTGAACCCTGTGCATTCCGCGAGTATATGTATTCATTCAGACCAGGGCTACCATCATCAAATACACACACAGAATTATACTACCATACAGATAAGCACACAGGTATACAATGCCAATTGCACATTCACACAGCTACACACACACACAGAGAAATAGATACACATTTACACACCCCCAGACACATATACATTGTATCAGATGGACTGACAAATACATTGCCAGAGACCTATATAGATATGCAAACACACATCCAAACATAGTAATTTATACAAAAAAATCTATCTTCTTTTTTTTTTTTTTCAAACATTTTATTGAGATATTATCTATGTTTTACAGGCAAGAGCATAACAAATCAGCATATTGATTATGCTGTTGTAGTACAGATATGTCACATTTTAAACAAACTGCATTTCCTAAAGATACCCAACAACCACAACGGAAAATTGCTCTCAAATGAAAAAAAAAAGTGTGTTCAAACATTTTTTTCTTTATCTTCCCTTTCACCCCAATGTCTAACTGGTCTTGATGAAGACTTGGCAGGTCTGATAGAACTCTTTTTGTTTTAGAACCCAATTGTGACATAGTAGGACATTGATCCAAGGGTTCGCCAATACTTTTCCCTGTACCCATTTATGTCCGTCGGATGTTTTTCTTTTGTTGCTTTTTTTTGCGCTCTCCTTTTTTTTATTACTTGATATTTTTTCGATGTATTAATGTTTGTATTAATTAATACTTCATTTTTTATTTTATTTTTACAATATTATTGAGTAGAAGGGAATGAGGAAAAAAAGAAAAGAGATTAAACAGCATATAAAACCAACCAAAATTACAGAGAAATCGTCAAATGAATACATGGTACTGAGTTTATGAACAAAATTAAACAAACTAAAAAAGACAAGCAAGGGCATGACTCTGACATATTTGAAATGTTACTGTAGGGCAGGCTTCCCCAAACTACAACTCCCATGATTCTCAGCCTATCTATTTCATTAATAGAATCATGGGAGTTGTAGTTCAGCAACATCTGGAGGGCTGGAGTTTGGGGAAGCCTGCTGTAGGGTATTACTCTCCATGTTCTAGAGTAGTATACTCCAATTGTATACCCCTTAGAGTTCTAATTAACACGTTAATCCCTTCAAATACATCATATCTTCTGACAGAAAAGTGTTCCTTCCCATTTCTATTTTTCTCGCCTCTGTAAATTTGGTGGTCTTCTGAAATGGAAATTTCTGCAAAACCTGGTGGATTTTACTATAAAGAAAACTGTCACTTTTTAGATGCTTAATAAATATGATCAAAGTAATGACAGGATTTAACAGTCACGCAGCAGATCACTTTGATAAACAAATCCCATACGCTCTTTCAAGTCAATTCTAAAACCATATAGTAATTTAGAACGGAAAAAGGGAGCAGAGCAAGTATGGGGTGCCTCCAATGAATCTAACCTGCATTTTGATGAGTTTGGCAAAATACCCCAAAATGCAGCTTCCGGGGTTAAAGAATTGTGGGGTATGCAAAGCAGCATTTTATATTCTACTACACTCCTTCAAATTGGCTTTTCTGAGGACAAGTTCAAGAATAGTAGTACATACCCTCCTCATCTTTCCTGCATTGATGGCAATCCAGAATATCCCTCAAAGTTACTTTGTATTGTTGTTTTTGGGAATAATATGTGTACTCGAAAAATAAAAAGGACATTTCTTCATATGTCGTTATTGGAATAAGTATTTGAGGAAAGCTGTAAGTATATTGGAGAGATACAAATTAGAGTACCCTTGGGGTTTCAAGGGACAAAGAATTATAATCAGAGTGTACAAGTCTACGTTCTAAACCTATTTTCTATACTGACTAGACGGAACTTTAATGCAAGTGTAAGAACAGACGATGTGACACAACTCCTGCTGCTAGGGACTGAGAGATGATGCTGGCACCAAGGGGAACTTATTTTTGGGTTTCTTTAAAACTTTCGTTCAAACTTAATTCTAAACCAAATATGCCACTGATGACCGCAACATTATATTTTTGGAATATACAATATACTCACAGGGTTATTCACTAAATTGAGAATTGTCTTGGGAATTTAAAATTTAAGGCCAAAATAGCCAAAATTGAAAAATTCTCTAAGTTACCTATGCTTCCAATTGGGCTACTTTGGCCTTAAATTTGACATTCACTTGGAATTCCCACCAATACTCACTTTAGTGAATAACCTGTCAATGTTGAATATTTGTTTTCCTAATAAATTATTTTTCTCTTCTATGGCCAGTGCTCAGGAATTGCAGGGAACTACAGTAAACGAGTCAGGATAATTAAATCACAAGTGAAAGGCAGCAGCATCCAAAACAAGAGAGGTGGGAGCTTCATGCACTATAGGGATATTCTAAGCATCAACACAATCCTAGCTTAGTGAAGCAGTTTTAGCTTATAGTAGATTATGTCCCTGCTGTCTTACTGCTCAATTAATGCTCACAAGCCATTCAGGAGTTACATCATTATTGCTTCTATTTATGCAGCCCTAGCCACATCTCCACTGGCTGTGAATCACACAACCTCCTTGAAAATAATGGTTTTGTTTTCAATCAATGCAGTGTGTTTACTTACTAGAAGTTTGTATCTCCTGCTCTGTTAATTGAACTTTATTCACATAGGGACTCCTGCAGGCCCTAGCAGGCTATTAACAGAGCAGCAGATAAGATATTCTAAATCAAACATATTGTGCAACAAAGGATGTTTAAATATTAGACATCTCTTTACAGGAAATGTTTAGGGAGACTGTGTAGACATGCACACCACATGCAAAGGAGGTGTGAATAGGGCTGCATAAACAAAGCAGAATATTGAGACGTTATACTGAAGGGGCATGGTGTATACACCAAAACTGCTTCATTAAAGGGACACTGTAGGCACCCGAACCACTTCAGCTCATTGAAGTGGTCTGGGTGCAAACTCCCATCACCATCGCCGGCGGGGGAGGAGCATGGGTGGAGCTGAGCCAGCGCCAAGGGACATCGTCGCTGGACCCAGGTAAGTGACTGAAGGGGTTATTAACCCTTTTAGTGCCGGGGAAGGGGGCTTGACAGAGGAGAAATCTATAGTGCCAGGAAAACTAGTTTGTTTTCCTGGCACTACAGAATCCCTTTAAACAAAAGTTGGCTTGTTGCTTATAGTGTCCCTTTAAAACTACATAGAAGAAATTAAATTTGCCAGGTAAACATACATTTTGTTATATTAATTATGTCACAGCCCTGTGAAGTAGTAATGACTTGTGGGAACTTAAACCAAATACTATATGGGAACAACCACCTTTCTTTCGACATTAATAGGGCCAATTAATTCAAAAATGTCCACATAGTCAAAAATGTGTGCTAGGAGCACCTTGGAAATATACTTTCTATTAATAGAAGTGGGACAAAATGCCCACTTTTTGTTTACAAATAAAAGTACTGTGTTGCCTTCTCCTGGGTCCCAACTTCACTTAGCAGGCACAGCTTATCCAAGCTTCCAGTGCCTGAGCCACCCAGTTTGTTAACAGCCCTCTAAAGAACTGGTGGGAGACATGGGGGAATAAGGCAAGCTGCGTGGAAGTATATCCAGAATCGGAACTCAGTCGTGGCTGGTCTAACCGGGTGGCAATTGAACATAAGGACGCTCTTTGGACTGCAGGTAGCTGCGGGAATTATCTGTGGATGTATGGGATGGGATTAACAGGTTGGGAACAGGGATTTTTGGGCTATAATAGCTGGCTACAGGAAGGTCCAAGTGGAATGTAACCGCAACAAATTCCGGTTTATTCACGAAGGAAGAAACATGTAATATCATAGACTTAAGCCAGTTGGCCATGGACATGACCAAAGCCTTTTTTCACACTTTTCGACCTGAGAAATGAACAAAGAAAGAAGATCCAAATGGCCTCAATATAATACATAAAAATATGGGACAGAGAGAATTCTCATTTTTAGAAAAGAAGCAATTACAATATCCTGATTTGATAGAACCTTCTTTTAGTCAAAACCTAACCCTTTTGAAAAAGTAGACATCCCAGGTGGTGCTAGAAGACAAACCTTGTTCATACCATTCTGATAAAGTAAAGCTTTGGAGATTCACAAGAATTCCAACAAAGTATTAAAAGAAACCAAAACCGACCCAATATTAAGACCAGTTGACTGCCACACTGGTAGTAGATGCTGGTGTCCATGTATAAGAGTGTCAATTACTTTGTCAGAGAAATCTTGGTTTCAGAAGATTATATATTCATTCACCAAGTCTTGGTTCCAACTGAATTAAGTTACTTGAAGGAAAAGGTCGATTCAACTTGACCTGGAGATTCTGATAAAAGGAGCAAGCTACTCCGTAGTGGAGTGACCTTGTTCCAGCAGTCACCAAAGACGATGGAGGTAGAGATAAGGAGACTGGACATAAAGACTAAATATGTTTCACACCTGAGAGAATTCCCCTTAATACAGCAATGCTGGGGAAAGTGTCCAAAATGCATCCCGTTTTTCCGGTCAGTTAGCCAAATCACTGTATTTGCATTGGTAACTGAAATCAAATTTTTCGGCAGTCTTAAAAGTTGTTACTCAAAGAGTGTGTTAATGATTGAGTACTACCAGAATAGACAGTGTCTTGTTCCAACAGCTTCACCCCAGCCCAGCCCAGCCTTCCATTCAGATGGCCTATCATTGGATATTTGCTTGATATACTATAATATAAATAGCAGAACTATTAGTGTCCATTAGATTGTAACTTTGTCATGGTCGGATCGTCTCCCCCTACCGTTCCTGTATGTCACACATGTTGTGTCAGAATTAAATCTGTGCCTTGTTTACCTATTGTACAGAGCTGTGGAATATGTTGTATAAATAATCGTAATTGTATACAGTACACAGGGAAAATACCATTGAATAAAATGGGTCATTGTACTGGTTTAATGGTAACAATCACAGATCTCTTCGTTGTGGTTTCTTTTATTTTAATACTAGATAGTTCAATAAAAAATTTAGTTAAAGTCAAAATCTTCAAAACGATGTGCGGTGATGGGGACAGGAACAAAACATACAAATATGTGTTTGTATAGACAGATACAAAGAGAAACATGCACGCATACAGACAGACACACAGAGACATGCATGCAAATAGAAACACATGCACAGAACAGTTACACACAAACATGCCTGCATACAGACACACACACACACAGACATACACGAACAGATGTATGTAAATTCAGAAACCTAAACCTGCATACATAAAGACATTCACACGGAACAGACCTAAACTTTTTTTGATTACCTTTTATAAACCATGTAGTCATTGCATGTTGTGCTGCAGAGTATCAGTGTATTGATGATACCTTTTTGCACTGTATGCTGGTCTGAGTATCTCCATATACTGATCATAGACATGCTGCACTCTAGAATTACGTACACTCAGCAGTCACTTCATTAGGTACAACTGCTCATCAATGGAAACAGCTAATCAACCGCAGACAAGTTCAAGAGGTTCTGTTGTGCTTGAAATCAAATGTCAGAATGGGGAAGAAACGTGAACTTAGTGAGTTTGCCTATGCAATGCTTGTTGGCTCTTGAGATTATCAGAAACTGCCTAGCGCATGGCATTTTCAGAGAACTGGAATCCTTAAAGGAACTCTTTAGGTTCAGGAACACAAACATGTATTCCTGATCCTATAGTGTTAAGAACACCATCTTGCCCACCTAAATATACTAAAATCTTACCTTTGTTCCTGTCTGCTGGTGCTGGCTCTGCCCCTGATCTGCCTCCTTGGCTGACATCACAAGTATTGTTGTTCTGAGCCAATCACAATGTTTTCACATAACACTGCCCCAGGAAACACCTCTAGATGTCATCTAAGGAGTGGCCAGTGAAGGTGTCCTTAGGCTGAAATGTAAACACGGCCTTTTCTCTGGAAAAAACAGTGTTTACTTCAAAAAGCCTGCAGGGACATGCTATACTCACCAGAAGAACTGCATTAAGCTGTTATTGGTCTGGTGACAATAGTGTCCCTTTAATACCAACTGAGCACAGTCTGCCCATCTTCTCGTAGCTATTTTCAGCAGCACTACAAGCTGTTTCCATGGACAGTGCGATGAGTTCAGTGCACTCTATGGTCTCCACAGTGACCAGATGTCAGTATAATAGAGAACCTTTGGGATGTGGTAGAACAGAGCATTTTGCAGGGTTAATGTGCAATTCTCAGATCTGCAGCAACTGCTTGATGTTGTTAACAAAGACCAGAGTCTCTAAAAATTGGTTCCTCCACATTGCTGAATCCATGCCATGAAGAAATAAGAAATAAAAAATTCAGGCTATTTTAAAAAATTAAAAAGAGAGCCTCAGCCAATAGTGGTAATAGTAATGTGTATGGAATAATGTGACCACTCATAATATTTTATATAGATGATGCATTAAAAATATGCCAACTAAAATATTAAAAGCTGTTAATCGATCCGAGCACTCTTATTATGTTCCACTGGAAAGCTAAACATATAACATAAACCACAATTCAGTGGTGGTCTTTCAGATGAAGTACAGCACTGATAATTTATTTTATGCAAAATCATGGGTGAAGGTTGGCAGAGCGACAATCAGTGTGGACAGATGCACGTTGCATGTGCTTCAAGACTATCAGATACAAGTGTCCGATTTGTGACAATCTTGGTAGAGGTAGAGGAGGAAAAATTACTCTTTTTAGATGTGCTATCTAACACAGGCAAACACTCGAACTAGCTTAAAGCAGCTGGGGGTACCGAGGGGTTGCAGCAACCCCAGAGGTCCAAGATGGCGCCACAGCTGGAAAACAGCTCACACGCCTCAGAGGAGGAGGCCCTAGACACGCTGGATGAAGTGCACCATATAAACAGCTTACCGCCGATGGTTCCCACAGAGGACTACTGGGCCCCAGTAACTAATGGGGATATCCTCAATTTAATGAAGAATATTCAAACATTTTTCAAGGCTGATCTTGACATGGTCAGAGAAAAGCTAGTGGCCCTAATTGACAAAATCAAAACTATGGAAGATGATATGGCTAACAATCAACAGGATTCTCAGGCACAACAAGCTTCTCTGGTCCACAAGTCTCTTGGGACTTTGCAGGCACGAATCGACTCCCTGGATTACGGGAGAGGGGTAACTGAGGAAGTTGAAGAGGGAAAACTGCCCCACTTTATTCGCTTACCTCCCCCTGCAAAGGCATATACCTGGATGAGGTTGGCAGGATTCCTACATCACTCAGTTCTCCAACAGCATCCCCTCAAGACAGTTTCAGTTTCCAGACCCTTGGTGATAAATTGGCTGTTGTATCTGCTGTGAAAGATGAGACCCGTATTCAGTCTGAAACCATGCAACTCGCCTTCCTTCAAGATCTCTGCAGATCCACTCTGCTATGGAGAAGATCTCTATCCTCAACCAAGCGGTTGCAGGACTTAAATGTCAGGTACAGATGGTGGTCAAATCGAAATCTTATAGCTGACGCCAATGGGACACAGCATAAGCTCACATCTGAGGCTGACTCAGCAGTATTCCTGCAGGCCTGCGGACTACATCAGGGTCTGGGACTGCACTAAGGCCTTCAGTCTCCCATGCTTGGGATCCTCTACCATCCAACCATTTGTTCCACGACAATCTGGTGGAGTGGGATGAGAAAATAGAAGTCATATTATTTTGTTTCTCCTCCTTTTAATTGTTTTTTGTTGATTACTTATTCCTAACAATCCTTTAATTATAATAATGCTTATTACTTGTTCCTAACAAACTACTCCTATACTATCATCTCATATCTCTTGGTGAAGTATCATGTCAAATTTTCCAATTTTATTGTGGCCAGCCTAAGGCACACCTATGCAATAATCATGCTGTCTAATCAGCATCTTGATATGCCACACCTGTGAGGTTATGGATTATCTCAGCAAAGGAGAAGTGCTCACTAACACAGATTTAGACAGATTTGTGAACAATATTTGAGAGAAATAGTCAATTTGCCTACATGGAAAAAGTCTTAGATCTTTGAGTTCAACTCATGAAAAATATGGCAAAAACAACAGTGTTGCGTTTATAATTTTGTTCAGTGTAATTGGCTGGAGCAGCCCAGCCAATAACATTCATCATTCAGCTACAATGTAAGCGGTTTAATTCCCTAGTGTGGAGGCTGCATATTAATTTTTCATATAGCCTTCTGGCTGCATAAATACACTTTGGTTTTATGAACAACTTTTAAAAAAAATTTTTTATAGACTTGTGTGCTTGTTTTAATGTATTCCTATTTTAATGGCCATTGATCAATGTATCTTTTATTCTGTTGCTATTGGAACTACGAAAAACAAAATATTAATTAATTAATTTGTCAGATAACAGTTATATAAGACCCCCACCCCCGTGCAACCACCTATATTTGGGAATATAGAGGTAAGTATGGTGTGGTGAAAGTAACCACGCCACTTGTTTTTGGAGTGGCCTGTTTGCCAGCCTCCTACCATGTGACTATGGTCCCTGTGGTAAACCATGGTTGAAAACGCTATTTGTACCTGTTGGGACTTGTAACAGGAACTATTCGAACTTTCAAAGCAGCATTTCAAACTCCCGAACTCCCGAAGCCATTCGAACACGTGGTGGCGGCGGCCATCTTGTTTAGTTGAACGCATCCAGTGGTGTTTGGTCATCGAGTGCATGGAACTCAAATCGGCCACTCACGACACGAACACTGCTGACTATATACCTTCCATGGATGTTTGGCTATTCGAACGGGAGTCGAACGGCGTTCAGTAAGAAGAAGCTCCCGAACACGAGACATACACTGACTTTATTCACGAACGGCTACGTTCAGTATTTGAACGTTATTTCGAGTCCTCAAAGTAGACCGGCAGCACAACCTGATTCTCTGGAACTGTTTTGGGCATGAAACCATGCGTGCGGTCGGTCAAAATAAGACTTCCATAGAATTCCTGAACCCCTGAACTGATATGGGTGATTTTTGGATATGTTGGTCACCCAGATCAGGGTTACCAGTGGATGTAATAATTGTGGGGATTTTATGTGTTTTGGGGGTACTTTTGGGGTTTTGTAAAATATGTGTTTTTTCTGCCTGGAGATAATTGGGTTAAATACAGTATCTGACTCCATTATCTCCCAGGCAGAGGGGAGGGATTGTATGCCATGTGTGGAAGTGCCTTACATTGTAAATGTGTTATTATTGGTTTGTGTCTCTGTCCTCAACAAGGTCCATGTGGGCGTATCCCTTGTTTGGGGACTTGCATAAAAGGCCAGTGTGGCTACCATTAAACCAGGAGTTTGGTCCAGAGTGGGAAGGGAGGGCGACACCCTAGTCAAGCTGCGGCAGCTAGGGGGCTACGGTGCTGATGGTGGCCAGTGCGGTGCTTATGGTACTCAAGGCGACTAGGAAGCAACGATTGGCGGAGGCACCCAGTTGGGGTGCCAGGCGGTCCGTTACATACGGATATTTGTTTTTATTTATAGGTCACTTAGTGCAAGGGAGACTGGCATTTTACTGCTGTGCCTAGCTGGGGGGTGGGGGGGGAGAGGACGGGAGAGGGGGTGACGGCACAATTGGGGCCTCAGGGACAAATTACCTCAATGGGGGTTGACACTAAGGTACTTCAAGCAATGGATACATCAGTGTTGGAGGACCTGGGAATTCTGCCAGGTTATTAGTAGTCGAAGGCCAATATCTATAGATCTTGATCCTGCAATGATAAACCATGCAACTAAGAGGCATGTATGTGCTGTAACCAGTCATTTTCCTTAACTCTGTGCTGCGGAGCAGAATGAGAAAACATGCAAAGTATCTTGGAATGCTTGTTAAAAAAAAAATATATATATGATTTAAATATATATATATTTTTGAAGTCTTTTGGGTCCTCTACGGATCCGCTTCATGAGGATGCATACTAGTTCACCTGGGGATGCTCCTGGTGTGCCCCAAATTGCTATGAGTTGGTCAAGTGTGCCCACCATGTTTGTTACTTGATGCTATTAACCCCTTAAGGACCAAACTTCTGGAATAAAAGGAAATCATGACATGTCACACATGTCATATGTCCTTAAGGGGTTAAAGGAAGCACATATTGACTATTTCTGTACCGACCACATGCGCCAGCCTAATATAGATTTTAAAAAATCATTATTGCCAACAGCTTACATTTAAAGTTCGGTAGCACATTGATCAATTTCAAAACAGATCCATTATTTGCTGAAGAAGATATCTCCAAAACTATATTTTAAATCCCAAAGTTAAACCCTGATTCACCAAGACATGATTTTATCTGACAGCCTGTGGTCACCTGCCCCCTCCGCTCACCCACCTCCCTCAGAGTTCTCACACCCCCACTCAGCCCAGCCATGCAGAAGGTGAACCTGTCATATTGAGTTTGGATAAAGAGTCTGATGCTTATATAAGGGAAATAGGAATAGCGGTGAACTTAAACACAGAAATACTACCGATTAAAGAACCCCTGAGCTGTACAATGGCACAGTATTGCCGTTGGACTCTACGGAGTTATAGGAAGAGTTACGTCCGGCAAAGACGGAAGCGTTATATGGATAAGGAATTAGCAGAGATGTCACAACGAACATTTAATTATACGGAATAACACAAGCAATTAATATGCAAAACGCGTTGAATTGAATGGTGTACGTGGGTAAAATAAAAAAGGCTTGAAACCCGGTGGGTTTTGTGTGTGGTGGTAGTAACTCTCTCCCATGGCTGCAAAGGATGCAGATTTAAAAGATCCGTTGAAGCAGACAATAGCATGCTATTGTCGTGTTCTTGGAACCCTTGTAGAGTTATCAACGATGGAGCAGGTGTGTTAAGAGTTCTGTTCCTTGCTGACCCCTCTTATAGTCCTCCGGTCCTTCATCTTCTGGAACATGCTGCACTGCAGAAAAAAAACATTCATCCCAGCAGCCTCTCCTACCCATACAACCCCCACCCCCTTCTCCCAGCAATGCCCTCATACGACCGACCGGTTAAATAGGAAGAAAAATAAGTATCTCAGATCCTGCGCGCTGGCAAACAATAGGGCTTTGGGGGGTGAAAGAGAACAGACAAGAAAAGAAAGAAAGACACAGAGAAATGAAGGAATAGGGGGTAATGAGATTATAGAAGTAGATACAGTATATAAAAAGGGAAAGAGACAGGGGCCGAAATAGAAAAGTAAATGGAGAAGAACAGCCAGGGAAGGGAGGAAAGCAGAAAATAAGAGGATGAGCGAGGCTGATAGACACAGTGGAATGTTAAAAGCATGGCTAGGGAGAGTGGCTGGAGGGAGGGGGAGCTGGGTCAGTGACTTCTGCAGCAAAGTGAAGAGGGTTGTTGTTTTTCTATATCAGTATAGTAAATACTCCTTCTGTTTAACACTTTCCATACAAGGAGTCTAAGAAGTGGTCCTTTTTATTTGAACAATATCAAGTATGTGTGCGGCTCTGTAACAATGTGTAATTATAGATATGTATATATGTATGTGTAACTATACATAATTCCGTGTGTGTTTTATATACGCACCACTATCTCATCCTCGTAGATTGTAAGCTCATATCCGCTTTCCATAATTGTAAAGTGCTGCAGAATATGTTGGAGCTATAAAAATGCTGATATGTGTATATATATATATATGACTACTTATTTTTACATAAATACTACGAGAGGATGTCAAAGTGCCTGCTGGGTGTGCTCTGGTGCGACAAGTTCCCACGCGACTTGTCCTTTTGCCTATAGTACAGTTTCAGCCTCCTCGGTGGCAGCACTCGTATCAAGCGTTCTTACTGACACAGGCCGCTGTGAATTGGAGCTTGATCTGATTTAGTGACATGAATGTGCATGGGCGACCACACAGACACCGTGCACGCACACATGGCCGCCAATAACCAATTAATGCCTAAGCCCAAGGGCTATATAGACAAATTTTGGCCATTATGCTGCAGCCTGTCGTGGTTTCCCTTAGCGGTTATCTGACCCCCGGCTTTTATCTTGACCAACCTCCATTCCAGTATCCATACTTGAACTTTGCCTTGTCTATTCGCTTATGTGCTCTCTTTCTCCCTGACCTTGGGTTTGTCTTATATTATTCTATATAGCATTAAATCTGGTCACTCTAATATGCTTTAGCACTCTGATTTATATTTGTTTGTATTTGTTCACTTAAAGGAGCACTATAGGGTCAGGAACACAAACATGTATTCCTGACCCTATAGGGTTAAAACCACCATCTAGCCCCCCTGACTCCCTCATGCGTCCCTAAATATAGTAAAATCTTACTTGTGTTCAAGTCTGCATCTGCTTGCTTTGTCACTGTTTCCCTTTGACCTGCCCACTGCCTGCTTACATCAGCAGAAGTGGTAGCCTGATCCAATCACAATGCTTCCCCATAGGATTGGCTGAGACTGACAAAGAGGCAGATCAGGGGCAGAGCCAGCAAAATTCAAACACAGCCCTGGCCAATCAGCATCTCCTCATATGGATGAATTGAATCAATGCATCCAGGGCCGGTGCAAGGATTTTTGCCGCCCTAGGCAAAAGAAATGCCCCACCCATATGATCTGCCATATAAACTAG